ACTAGTGCTACTCAGATCGTCCTGTGGCTTCCAGTCAATAGCAGTGATCGTCGTAACCGCTTCGGCTCCCCCGCAGTCCTCTCGCCTTAGCGTCTTCGCCAGAGATCAGTAAGCCGATAAGCTTGCGCTTCTGGCAAGAGCAGTATCGACTACGCCAGGCTAGCCAACGATTTGTTGTTCCTCCTGCAGCCATCCAGGCTCTACTGTACAATCATTCGAATGTCTTCTGTCATTCTACAATCTTCAATATTTCTGTGGATTCTTCTGTGGATTGCTGGCGAAGCGGCGTGTCTTCGCTGGTGATTAATCTGGTATTCGTTACTGAATTAAACTAGTGCATTTTAACCGCGTGGCACATTAGGAAGGCGAGCAGCCCCACAATTTGGTGCATTGGGCCGGAATCGAACCCTAGGCCTCCGCGTGGCAGCTAGCATTTTACCACTGAGCCATCTGTGCCAACTACAAGACGCTTCAAATTTCGTCAATACCTGCTTACCCGTTGTTTACAGCCTTGCCGACTGTTCCGACTGTGTTTTCTGAAGTCGTCTCATACATGGACCTATGGGATACTGTCGATGTAGTCATGGTGACATACCGTCAAGACCAGGTCATCGAGCATCAGCAGATCTGCTATCGTACCATGCGCAACGCGACTTACAAATGTCATTCAAACTGGATCGGAGGGTCAGTAACCCATGCCACATCAGAGGCTGCCATCTCCCTACTTAATGCATTTCAGCATGTGGCGCTCCGGAAATCAAGAAGTATAAAATTGGTCCAACAGCCTTTCTGGTGCAGAATGAACGTGATATGCCTTGCGAATGGTTTATTGTTCCAAAAACTAAGACTTTCGCAGGAAGACCGTGAAATTCGTCCTCATTAGCGCTGATGTCTCGAACTCAACTTACACATTCAATCTCAACCAGGACAATGTCAGTTGCAGCCGGCGTTATGGGAAATGCTTCCCCAATCAAGGTGTGGTGACACGTGCGACGTCAGAAGGATCAAATGAAGATTGCCAAAGTTCACGAAAGTTGGAACAGAAACAGGAGAGATGCCAAATCCACGTCCCGTCAAAGTTGGGACCGTTGGCGGCTATCGTATGTGTGTCATCGCAAGGCGAACTCTACATCACTACAGGGAATATTCGCCCCCACCTTGTCAAGCGGAAGGATATGCAGCTGCCACTACTTCCGGAGAAGTTCTAGTTTCCAAGACGTACAATTTCTCCACGATCAACAAAACAGCAAGAATACAAGCATCGAACAGTCATGATACGGACAGCTATCTGGAATAGAGATCATCATGTTGCCTTACGATGCCCCGACCTCAATAGCGCAAGACGTTTGGACTGCCCCGTAGTGTGTGTACACCAGCGCAAAACCATGTAAGTTGCAGGTGCTCCGAATTCTCAATAACCGGTGGGTTCAATAACACGAGAAATCAGTTACCAGTGGTCTTTCCGGCACTAACCTTCTTGCCACACCCATCGTCGAAAGTTCAGGCAAGGGTTTTCTCAATGGTTACTGCCGAAATTGCCACCACGTTGAAGCGGTCTATAAACCAGAAATTTTGGTTGATGATGCAATATGTACCGTAGAGGACTCAGATCTCAACAAATGCTATGGAATGTGCTGAAGGAGCTTTCAGCATCCTGACTTGCATAGCGTCTCGGGACCAGTTTCAAGCAGAAGTGCGTTGCCATCTATGGGGCTTCACACTCCTATGTAACACAACTACGGTCTCTACGGCACGATTCACATGTTCCGTTCCATGCGGAAAACTTGCACATGGTTTTATGATAAAAGGTATTCTGATATTTGCTACGATTCCAAGTGATATTTTTAAACTATGGCTAAAGGGAGAAAGCATAGCCCATGATGATTTCACATGGCTCGATTTCTTGCATATTTTTACTTTTGCACAACGGTATAAAACTGTTTTGTAGCAATAATCGGTTCACTGACAATAATCGCATTGACCTACATCCTTGCTTCCATCCGTAAAATATAGATCCTCTTTTGGGTTGTGACTTCATTCCCAAGATAATCATTTATTGAGTCAGCAAATTTCTTCGCACCTTTCCTTCTGCAGAAATAGAACCGCACATAGAAAACAGTATTAATTCAATAACATAACAGTGCAGTACTAGCATTTTAGTAATAGCTTTCTTTCCTTCTTTTTCAGCACTTTTAACCCGCTATGGCGACAAAATACTTGTCTGAGTCGTTCTTGTCCAACTTACATCTGGACTCAACATCAGCAGACCTTTCTGGAAGAAGTTCTGGCCAATAGCCTTGAAGAGATCCTCGGTCATATCAAGGTGACGAAAACACTAGGGGTGTCATTGCAGCACCATATCGACGAGAAAGTCATTAAGAGGCCCGATCACGAGAACAAGTTCTCCTCACCACTAGGTTCCTGAGAACCGCTTCAGTGACTAGGGAAGCAATGTGGGGATGGACACAACGCTTTCTTACTGTCGACTCATTATATAAGAGAATGACCGACTCGGAGCAATTCCCCACTCGGAAGCGAAAAGAATGGCACAGAATATGACACTAACGCGAGGGACTTAATTCCAATAGTCCACGGCAGCATGAAGAAGTTGGACCATTACGTAGACGCTCTTCAGAAGGAGCAAAGCTGAGAACCGGCTTTAGAAGGAAAAGAACTGGCGTCAGATACGGTCGTTGTGGTTGAGGAGACGGTATAGGAAGAAAAGCGGAAGGAAGCAAAGTCAGAGGCTCTCACGAATGGCGAGTACATGGATCGCGTAATTGAGGAAAACAACGGAGAAAATGGAGTATTCTGCCGACTGGCGCGGATTCTGCGAACCAGAACTTCAACGAGGAACCATGCTGTTTGAGACAAGAATAGGAAATAGCCCATCAAGAGAGAACTCTTAAAGAACTCGAGTCTGCCCATCCCTACCTTCCACAGAGAAAAATCCGTTGGCTCTCGCCTAATATGAAGGACGACGTTGGGTGATCTTCTGCTCATCTGTGTTCCACTATTCTGACTCCTGCCCAACAATGGCCGATGAGGGATACCGTTTTGTCCTAAGGAGGAAGATATGCCAGTACTGCACAGGAAAGTGTGACCCAAACAGAACATGTTCCAAGGAAAAGGGCGAGTGTCTCCACTGTGCAGTAATTTGGGAAACCGAATCCCTCCAGTTCCTAATCTCTGACGACGAGGGTCATCACCGCGGTCTTTGCAATATCATAAACTCGAAAAACTTCTTCACCGAGCGTATCCAAGAGGTGAAGCGCGAAATGGAGAGGATCAAGTTCTCTTTTTAACGGTGTTGGCCGGAGTGTTGCAAAATGCGACTTTCTCCCATATTTCAGGCAAGTAGCTAGCCACGTTTACATTCTTTTGTAGCTCTCATTCTCACAAATGCATGAGAAAGCCTAGTTCTCAAAACATAAGTTCCTTGGAGAAAATTATGTTCACAGAGAAAGATTTAATGGCCTCAATAATCACGTAATCTGGCTGTATATAAGCTTCACAATACTATCTTCTGGGAGAGCTGAGATTTTCTGTGGGATTCAACTAGTGCTACTCCGATCGCCCTTCCGGCTTCCAGTCAATACCAGTGATCGTCTTATTGCTTCGGCTCCCCCGCAGTCCCCTCGCCTCAGCGTCTTCGCCACAGATCAGTGAGCCGATAAGCCTTGCGCTTCTGGCAAGAGCGGTATCGACTACGCCAGGCTAGCCGTCGATTATTTTTCCTCCTGCTGGTTCTTCTGTACAATAATTTGATCCAGGCTTCGGCGCCCTTCCAGCTTCCAATACCGGTGATCGTCCTAACGCTTCAGCTCCCCTGCAGTTCCCTCGCCTGGAGAGAGGTATCAACTACGCCAGGCTAGTAGTTGATTATGCTTCTATTTGGGTCCTACTGTACGGTCATTCTATTCTGGCTTCGCCCAATCTTCGCAAAACCAATAAGCGAACCCTCAGTCAGCTTTTCGCATCGCAGTCAAGGACTTCAATACTTCTGTGGATTGCTGAAGAAGCGGCCGGTCTTCGCTGGTGATTAATCTGATGCTCGTTGCTGAATAAACGAGTGCTTTTTAACCGCGTGGCACATTGAGAAAGGCGAGCAGCCCCACAAAGTCGATGATGGCTATATGGATATGTGAAAAGACATGAATACATATAGAGTGAGTTATATTGGGTTGTAGGGAAAGTCCTTTGCGGTTTTCAAAAAACTTTATTTTTTAACCTGCTAAACGCCTGCCAGCAACTTGGCTCGTGCATATATAAGGAGAACATATATGTGCAAGTTCAGTATAATTATTAGCTATTACCTGTAGCTTATCACGTTTCTGCAATATGCAACTTTCACAACAGTACTTTCATGACCTTTTACTATACGGGTTGATATTTGGCGAATCAGCAGCCTAATCCAGACGTCGCATTGATGCTGCGTGTGGAGAACGTAGGGTATCCGAATGCACTGCACAAGGTTGGTCTGAACGCTTCCGCGAGGGAGACTCCAAGCTTGAAAGTTCCACTTGATCGGGACGTGAACTCGAAGTCGACAATGATCGTTTGCGTAAGCTGGTGTGGGCAGACCCAAGGCAAACTGCGCGTGAAGTTGCATAAGTCTCAGGTGTATCCTTTAGCATCACTGCCGGTCACCTGCATCAGTTGGGAAAGGTGCACAACCTGGGACAGTGCGTACCCCACAGCTTGACACGTGCGATTGTCCGCAACGTGCCGAGGTGACTAATGAATGGCTCTCGTACAGGCGCACGGATGGTTGGCTGAAGTCCGTCGTCACACAGGATGAGAAGTGCTGTCTGTAGGTCAACATCAAGGCCCGCCGACGCTGGGTTGACAAGGGTGACCAGCCTGAGCCGCAACAGAAGGCAGGTGTTCACCCTCTGAAGGTTATGATCTGTTTGGTGAGACTGCTAAGGCATTATCCATTACGAGCTACTGCCGCGCTGCGCTACTCTCGCGGTGGACTTGTGCTATTAGGAGCTGGATAGAATGGCCACCAAGATCGCAGAGAAGCATCGAAATTGCGGCACGATCTGATTCCTGCACGACAGCGTTCGTCCACGCACTACAACAGTGACCCGACAGAAGCAACTCGACCAGGATGGGAAGTGGGAAGCCACTCACCGTACAGCCAGGAAACTGGTACAACAGACTACCACCTTTTCTTTCGCTTTCGAATGCTATACAAGAGAAAACGTTCGAAGATGAAGATGACATAGATCGCTGGTTGCGTTTTCGAGTCGAACTCAGGGCAGTTCTTGCTGGAGGCAGCCGAAGTCTGCCCGAAAAGTGGCAAAGAGTGATAGTGTGTGATGGTGATTACCTTGCTTCCTCATGTGTTTTGTTTCTTTCAAAAAGTCAGTAAAACAATAACTGTCGAAAACCGCAAAGACTTTCCTACAACCTACATACTTTCGTACTGATATCGCATGGTAGGCGTGGTTGTAGAAACTTTAAAATAGGCACACGACTGAACAAACACAACGGACGACTGACACTGTACGACAGACACTCACACGCTTAGCACGTTCAGTGCTGACCGCTTAAGCGGCAAAACAAGCCAAGATTGGTAATCAGCCAAATGAGGAGCAACTCCCTGCGACACAGATCGTCTGGTTTGTAAAGCGGCGGGAATGGTAAGTATGGCCTAGGTCTGTTGGGCGATCGTGCTTGGTGCATCTCTCGCAAAGTCTGACCTTCTCCTACCCTCACCCCTAGTGAAGGGCAGATTAGTGAGAGGTCCGGACAAAGGAAGATAGGTCTGCACAGTTTCCTTCCTTTTTTCCTTAGGTGGATATAAAGAATGTTAGTAAGAAGTAGACATTATAGAATAGATATATCTAAGAAATTGGATAGATTCGAGAAGCGTGTAGGGTAACATAGTTTGGGTGATGTGTCGCGTGTATGAATAGCGACAATGGATAGCAATCTTGTCCGGGACACGGTCTGAATGATGAATCTCAGCTACATCTTTCGGGATTCATTCCCTAATAAATAATATGCTTTTTGTTATTCTGCTTCCGAAGCTGGTTTTAATTTCCATAGCGACCTCACTGTCTGCGTCATTCACGTAGCATAAATGTCGAGTTCATAGCTTTTACGCGGTCTCTATGCCAGTCACAGCCCGGTGGACGTACAGAAGATGCGACACGTTGTTATAAAGAGGCAACTTTTGAGCCTATTGTATTCATGGAAAAGAGGAATACTGGAGAACCATCTCATGAAAAAACCAACAAGCCTAATTTTTGTTAGGCTAACGCGTCAAGATCCCTCGAATTGAACTCTAGGCGAGCTGAAAAGCCAGTCATCAGTCAGCCAGCAGAACTATTCATGAACACAGCTGAGCTTTGTGGTCTTGGGTCTTTCGAAAGAATGCGGCCTGAGGCATAAACCCTTGGTTGGCTAGGAGAGTTAACAGCTCCTGAGGCAGCGCTGCCCCACTGATCTTACCATTAAAGGCGTGTTACCTACAAAAGATGCAGAAGCATGGTAATGGCAGCCTCGATGAGGCACATTGCTCTCAACTTCGCCTTTGTAAATACAACAGTTTTCGCAGAACTCGATTAAGTTTCGAACCCGCTGTGTTTCCGACATGAGGCAGATGCGCACGCAAAAAACAATGGGAATAGCGGTACGTTGTTCAACAGACTCCAACTTCTTTCTTCATAGAACCTCGGCATTTTTGTAGTTATAATGTAATTCTTCTGCCAACGAGGTTGTAAGGTGGAATCTTTATTAGGCCTCTGAGGAAGACGATCTCGTCGAAACGTCAGACTATTAATAAACATTCCACCTAACAACATCGTTGCCAGAAAATTACATTATTATGGGAATAGCATTAGTTTGATCTCGGTAAGCAAAAAAGGACACGCTGCGTTGCTGGGCTTCCCTACTCAGCCTGGACCAGACTATCCTAAAGAAGGCTTCATAAACCTCAGCAATCATTACTGATATCGGCTTCTAATCATGCGCTGTGAAACGTTCCAATAAAGATGTCCGAAGGTGGTCATAAAACTCTCTAACTGACTATAGAATCATACAATTCTGCACTTTAATTTAAATTACTTAAAGGCAAAGTTCGGGCTCAGACCCACCTAAGAAGCCCTTACCATGGCTAGAAGTGCTGGGTACGCAAGTGCAAAGGTAGCGCCACCTTTCTACATCGAAACGTCACTAGGACCCTAGGCGCCATGGACTTCTAACAGACTCCACCAAACTTAACATGGTCCGCCCACCGTTCGATATCTTGTCTGCGTCGCCACGTTGATCTGCTATGCTCTCTCTTCTCGGACTTCTCTACCACTCTCTGCGCTCACATTATCTCACCTCTTGCCTGTCTTGAAAACTATCTCCAAACAGCATGCGAGCAAGATAGCTCAGTCGTCACGATCTATACCCCACTCTACACATTTGAGTGGAATCACATAAATTTAGTCTGATGTTTGCCTTGATCCGTTCGCATTTTCATCGAGAAGTTATCGAAGGGAACCAGGAAGTGAATGATCCGTGGTCCACCCAGGTGCAATTAGTTTTTCACTACTCTTGAAATCTCCTTAAAGCACACTGGTTGCCCTGTTGGAATTAAT